GACGAACACCGGGACCCGCACGCACTGCTTCACCACCTGCAGGAGGCCTGGCGGGGACAGAGAGAGGTGAAGAGGAGGGGAAAGAGAGAGAAGGCGGGTTAGGGAGGGGGTGCCGGCCTGGGGAGGGCACGGGGGGGCGGGTACCGGGGGGAACGGGCACGGGGGGAGGGGGAACCGGGAAAAGGGGGAACCGGGGAGGTCCGCGTGCGGGGACGGGGCCTCACCCATACTCGGCGTGGTTCCTCCCTCGACGAGGCCCGCGCACAGCTCGATGCGGCCGGCACCTGCGGAGAGGCAGCGGCTCACAGCGGGCCCCATCCTCCCCACCACCCCCCCCCGGTCCCCCCCGGTCCCCCCCGGTGCCGCCCCCGGTGCCTCACCTCCTCGCTCCGCGTTGACAGCCGACTCCACCGAGTCCACGCACACCTCCATGAGGAACCCATCCTCCATGCCTGCGGGGCGGCAGCGGAGCCGTCAGCCCGGCCGGCGCCATGGCGGCCTCCTCCGTGCCGCTCGGGCTCCCGCCGCGCTTCCGCTTCCGCCTGCCTCCACTTCCGCTTCCGGCCTCGCCCCCTCGCGGCCCGGGCCCGCGCCCTCCGGCGCGGGCCCGGGCCGCGAGGGGGCGAGGCCGGAGCGCGCGCGCGGCAGAGGAAGCCCCGCCCACCTCCCCCCTAAGCCCCGCCCACTCCCCCCTTAAGCCCCGCCCACCTCCCCCGGCCTCGCCCCGCGCCCTCCCCTCACCTGCGCTGGCGGCGCGCGGGGGTCGCTGCTGGCTCCGGGTCACGTGCCGCGGGAGCGTCATGGTGACGCCCAGCTGACGGCCGGAAGCGCTCCCCTACGACTTCCGGCGCCGCCACTTCCGGGGTCGCTCGCGATGCTGAGGGTGCTGCGCGGCGCCGGGGCCGGGGCGCGGCTGCTGGGCCCGGGGCGGGGCGGGGGCGGGGCCCGGGCGCGGCTCCTCGGCCTCCAGCAGCAGCCGCCAGCCCCGGTCCCGGCCGCCGTGGGGCAGGTGGCTGCTCGCCTGTAGCGGCGCCGTGGCCGGGGCCGTGGTGCTGGGCGGTGTCACCAGGTGAGGGCGGCCCCGCCTGGGGGGGGCCCCGCTGAGCGGCACCGGGCGGGAGGTGGAAGCCTCGCACCTGCCTCCGGCCATGGCTGTGAGGGGAGAGGGCCGGGGGTGGCAGCTGGGGATCACTGACAGGGATTTATGGGCGTCCCCCCAGCTCCCATGCCCTTTGCCCAGTTCTCTCAGTGCTGCCCGCTACAACCAGCGGCTGTGGGTAACGTAACGCTCAGGGAGTGACCCCTGTCTGCTCGCAGGCTGACGGAGTCCGGCCTTTCCATGGTCGACTGGCACCTGGTGAAGGAGATGAAGCCCCCGAGGACGCAGCAGGAGTGGGAAGCGGAGTTCCGGAAGTACCAGCAGTTCCCCGAGTTCAAAATGTGAGCGCTCAGGAGGCGGGATGGGGCTGGGAGCATCGCTCCTGTGGCTGTGCAGCACTGGGAGCTCTCACGAGAACTGGAATGCCCTCTAATACCATCAGCAAGGCTAGCAGAGCCCATCTGGTGGTGGCCACACGCAGTCACCCTCCTTCACTGTCACCTCCTCCTCTGGAGGAAGGTGATCCCTCATCAGTGGGAAGCCAGACAGCTGGCACCACGTTAAGCAGTTCTTTGTTTTAACACCCCTAACAGCCTGAATCACGACATGACACTGACAGAGTTCAAGTTCATTTGGTACATGGAGTACTCGCACCGCATGTGGGGCCGTGTCGTGGGCTTGGCCTACATCCTACCAGCTGCATACTTCTGGAGGAAGGGCTGGCTCAGCCGCCCCATGAAGGGCTGTGTCCTTGCACTCTGTGGGCTCGTGTGCTTCCAGGTGAGCGCTCTGCAGCCACGGGGAATTGATGTGCTATCTCCTGTGAACGTTTCCTGACTGAGCATAGTCAAAACACTGGGGTTAATGAAAGATTTTTGGGCGGAGGAGGGGTCAGTGCTGGTAAGGTGGTTCAGGATGGAAGAAACAAGTTGTTTGACCCCTAACGTTTCTCTGACTTTCTCTTTTATGGGATGGGGGAGCTGGCTCTCACCCTCTGTTGTTTTGCCAGGGGCTGCTGGGCTGGTACATGGTCAAGAGTGGACTGGAAGAAAAGCCAGACTCCTACGACATTCCTCGGGTCAGCCAGTACCGCCTCGCAGCGCATCTCGGCTCCGCGCTGGTTCTGTACTCTGCCAGTCTGTGGACGGGGCTCTCTTTGCTGCTGCCACGACACCAGGTACGAGGGGGTGCGTCAGCAGCTGAAGGCACAGCGTAACGTTCGGAGGGTGGGGGATGTAAGGTAAAGGAAAGGGTGTGGGGAGTGATGGTTACTTCCATTTTATCCTGTTCCTGGAAGCTTGTAGGAAGGATATTTGCTGACAGTTATAGGATGTTTCATTTGACTTGTACTGTTACGCTCACACTCAACAGTGATTAGTCTCAGAGTTCCTGCAGGCTCAGGCGGGTGTCCGCCTGCCTGGTTTAATTGATTTATGCTAACATTTGTCCAGTGGCCACTTCAGTTTCTGCACGAGGTTGGACTTGATTACTTGTGGTTCTTGAGGAACCACTGAAATGTGGCTGTGCTGTGTGTTGCCCCCTGTATCCCTCCTGTAAAATACACACCAACCTGTCAGCCTGTATATGCCATGAAAGCTTTCCTCACTTGCTGCAAACAGCACTGGAAATGCTTTTCTTGAATTCTTTTCACTTTGTTTTACAGTTACCCGAGACCCGGCAGCTCGTGCGCCTGAGGCACTTTGCTCATGGCACCACAGCTCTCGTTTTTCTTACGGCTCTTTCAGGTAAGGCCGCTTCATATCACTGTCCTGCCCATGGCTTGCTTCTCTCTGCCTTGTTTTCCTTCTGGCCTGGTGGGGACTGCAAAAAAAACAAAACCCACTGTGTTCTCTGGGAAAACGTCATTCCTTTCAGGGCACTTATATTCAAGATCTTCCCTTACTGGGAAGTTCTGAGCAGGCAGAGATGCGCCACACCACCTGTGTGCTGCTGTGTGATCTCTGGACATGTTTCCCAGAGAAATTCAGGATCAGGCTGTGTTCTTGCGTCAGGCTGCATTTAAGAGCTGTGCCCGGGGTGCTGTCTGTACCTCATCCAGCAGCCTTGTTCTCTGCTCTGGAATTGCAGGTGCCTTTGTGGCAGGGCTGGACGCTGGCCTTGTGTACAATTCCTTCCCCAAAATGGGGGAACGCTGGATCCCAGATGACCTTCTCGCCTTCTCCCCCACGCTGAGAAATATCTTTGAGAATCCGACCACTGTACAGTTCGATCACAGGATCTTGGTAAGTGCCATCTTCCTGCTGTGTCTGCTTCCTCCCGGTTGCTTCGTACAGCCAAGCTGTCCTCTTTGGGCTGTGGCTCTGTCAGTGTGAGTGATATCCAGGGCGTCCTGAGGTCCTGAGAGCTTTGTCACTGCCTTGCTTCCGAAGAAAGAGGGAGGTTAGCACTCGTTTGTTTTTTTCCAATGTGGTCTCCTTCCTTAAGGATGTCTTCCTGCCCAAGTTACAGGCGTCATTTCTTTGTGTCTCATTTTCCATAACATCAGCTGCAGATCAGGGTAGCCCTCGCTGCGGAAATGTCTGTGGATGTTGTGTTGAAATAAAACTTGGAAATCTGACTACTGAGTGGTGTCTGCTTCCTCTAGCATTTCTCAAGTTCCTTTACACCAACAGTGCCTTGTGGGGAAAAAAACTCAGAGCAATTTGGATATTAAGTAACACTGCTGGCATTGCTGTGGGCTAAGCCACTGCAAAGACTGAAAGGAAGGATTAAGTGATTTAGAAGAGGAATCATCTGGTGTGGCATGTGTGATGAGATAATGCTGGGGAACTGTGGCTGAGTGGTGAAAATGAGATCAGTTTTCCAGCTGACAGCTTCCACCTTTAATTGTCAAGGTGACAGATGGAGAGAGGGCAAAAACATTGCCTAATGCATTGACGAAATGAGGAAAAGCCATTGGGAAGTAAAGCATTAATTCAGAGAAAATTGAGTTCTCCGTAACTCAGGTTAAATTTCAGGGTTAACCTGGTGGGGGGCATGGGAACTCCAGGATTTGGCCATGGCTATGAACTGTCTGTGGCTAGGAACTGTTCCTACAGCTTGATAAAATCACAGAATTGATTTTGCTCTGTGGAAGGTGCAGCCAAAGGCATCTGCGCCCTTTTCCTTCGGACTTTTCTCGAAGGGCGGTTGTTCCTCCTTCCCACTACAACCTCATTTCCCTCTTTAGGGAACTGCCACAGTCACAGCCATCACGGCGCTGTACCTCTTCTCGCGGAAGATCCCGCTCCCTCGCAGGACCAGGACGGCAGTGGCTTCCTTACTGGCTGTGGCTTGCATGCAGGTACTTCTTATTTTATTTCCTTTGCAAAAGGTGGTCAAGACAGACCCTTCCCAATCATGGAAGCGGTGCAAGATCTTCGCTTGCACAAAGAGCTGGGAGGTGGCACTGCTTGCACAGGCCGATTTGGAGGGTGGGAGGTCTGGTTGTGGGCCTTCCTTTGTCACATTTAGTGCTCGGTGCCGTGTCAGCAACCACGCTCACACTTGTTCCTTCCCGCCAGGTGGGCCTGGGCATCAGCACCCTGCTGCTCTACGTCCCCACGCCGCTGGCCGCCACGCACCAGTCGGGCTCCCTGGCGCTGCTCAGCGTGGCGCTGTGGCTCATGGCCGAGCTGCGGAGGCTGCCCAAGTGACCGCGGGGGCCGGGATGCACGGCCACAACCACCACCACCACCACCACGACCACCGCCACCGTGGCAGCGGTCAGGCTGCGTGCCATAAAGGAGCTGCTGTCACCCAGCCGCTGGTGTCTGCCTGCTTGAGGGGCGGGAGGCGCGGGCTGCGGGGCCCCATTGAGGCCGGGCCCCCCCCATTGAGGCCGGGGCCCCCCCATTGAGGCCGGGGCCCCCCCATTGAGGCCGGGGCCCCCCCATTGAGGCCGGGGCCCCCCCATTGATACCGCGGCGCAGTGGGAAAGGGGCGGGGCTTCCCCGCGCGTCTCGTCCAATGGGAGGCGGCGGGGCCGTGGCGCGCCGCGCGCTGATTGGTTGCCGTGCGGGGAGCGGAGCGGAGCGGGGAGGCCATGACTGCGCACAGCTTCGCGCTGCCGCTCGTCCTCTTCTCCGCCTTCTGGGGGCTCGTGGGCGTCGCCGCCCCCTGGTTCGTGCCCAAGGGGCCCAACCGCGGGTGAGTGCGGGGGTCTGGGGGGGAACCGGGGAGAACGGGGCCGGGCAGCGCGCCCTGAGCCCGCTGTCTCCGCAGGGTGATCATCACCATGCTGGTCACCACCGCCGTGTGCTGCTACCTCTTGTGAGTACCCGGCCTGCAGCCGGCCCTCCCGGCCTCCTTCCCTCCCCTCCTGCTTCCCCTCCCAGCCCCGCGCCTCACAGCCCCCGTCTGTCCGCAGCTGGCTGATCGCCATCCTGGCGCAGGCCAACCCGCTGTTCGGGCCGCAGCTGAAGAACGAGACCGTCTGGTACGTGCGCTTCCTCTGGGAGTGAGCCCCGCGCCCCAACGGACAGCCCCCCGGCGTCACCGTGAGTGGGCAGGGACGGCTGATGTGTCCCCTAAAACCTGCGGGTGGGAGCTGCTTCGGTTTGTGGGGCCGCAGGGGTGCTGAGCCCAGCGTGGGGGTGCTGCATCCGAGCAGGGCCTCAGCAAGCCAAGGCACTCCCACCTGAGCTCTGTCTGGGCACAGCTCGGTGCTAACGTCTCCCTTTCTTCCTCCCCCAGCTCCCGCCACTGCTCCAGCATCTCCCCTCCCGTCCCAGGCAGCCCCCAGAGGTGCTGGGCCAGAGGCTGGACCCACAGCCCCAGCAGCATCCTGAGCTCTGCATCCCCGCTGGCTGCAGGCAGTGCCCCTGGCCGGGATGAGGAGCTCGTGCAGGCAACAACCTCCCTGCCATCAGTCCCTGGCTGCAGCCGCCCTGGTCCCTGCTGAGGGTAGGAGAAAGGAAGGTTGGTGCTGCAGGAGGATGTGGGCTGGCAGGGGTGCGATGCAGGGAGGTGCTGGGGTGTGGGGCCGGGGGCTCTGCCTGGCAGCCTGGGGCTGGAGGGGGGCCCTGTCATCTCCTGCCCCAGCAGCCAGGGTGCTGCAGTAGTGTCTAGGTACTGCCGTCATTCCTACCCATGCCCATGTTCTGAGAACTTATGAGTTGTCCCTTGCCCCTATTTATCAGATATAACTTATCTGTATTTATTAATTTGTCTGTGTTAAGTTTGTGTTGTGGAAATAAATCCTTCTTTTAGTAAGTGATGCTGGAAGCAGTCACTTGCTTGGAGGCAGAGGAAGTCTGGGCTTTATTCTGATTGTCTCCCTTCCCCCATCACCCCTAGCACTGCTCTTGTGGTGAGAACAAGGCCGGGATCCTCAGCTGTTGAGGAAAAGGTGGTAGCATGTCTGCAGGGCAGATCTTATCCTTGATGCCACCTGCATGGTAGTCCGTTGGACCAGGGTCACAGATAAACCATGGCATGTGCTGTGGAAAGAGGTGGGCAGCATTATTTGGGAGGATCACAGCTGCTCAGTGAGCTCAGCTGTGCAGAGCAGCTGTTGGCACCAAGGCACCTCCCTTGCCCCACACCAGCAGCAAGTCCCAGTCCACGTGAACCAACGCCAGGCAGAGGGCTGCGGGTTCACAGGGCATGCCTGCAGCCCCCTGGCTGGATCTCACTCTAGAGCACAAGACAACGGCTGGATGGCTCAAGGCTTTTTTTTATTGCTACAGGAATGGTCATAGATGAATTCAAGTAAAAGTAAAGAGCTTGTTTTGGTTGGTCCGGACTCCAGCCCCAGAGGAACAGGGCTCGTGCTGGTGCACAGAGGGATGCAGAAGGCAGCCCCAGCCCTGAGCTGCCCCCCCCTGCACCCCCAGCACAGCTGGAGTGAGGTGGCTGCCCCAGAGGCAGGCCCAGCCTGCGTTCATGGGGCAAGAACCACTGGTCCTTGCACTTAGTGCCTGATTAACTGTGGGATGCCCCATGCTTAGGAGGGAACGAATGAAAGAAGCACAGCCTGCTTTGGTGGGGCCTTGGGAAACGGTCCCTGAGCCCTCAGTGCTGTGCCTGGGTACCGATTGAGACTGCAGGAGGATTGTTCTGGGGAGGGGGGGCTGCGGCAGACAGCACAGCACCAAGAGGGAAGGCTCTGAGCAGGGTCAGCCCTAGAGGAGCAGCTTTGGGAGCTTTTGGCTCAGGGATTCCCGCAGTAACGTTTTGAGGCCCCGATGCTTGTACCAGCCTGGGGAAAGGCCAGCCTAGGCAGCGGGCTGCAGCACCTCCTCACCGAGCTGCTCTGCGAACTGGGGACTGAGTGAGGATAGCCTGGTCCTTCAGGCTGCAGCCCCGACTGGGCTGCCTCAGGGAAGTCCTGCTTCTCCCAGGGACCAGCAGGGGCTGCAGTTCAACCCTGCTGTGACAGCAAAGGGCTTTTCTGTACCCCCTGCAGCAAGGTGAAGGCCAGAGGCCAAGGAATGCGAAAATTAGGACTGGGGCGAGGCTGAGAGGAGGGCTCCCTTGTCCATTGGGCCGCCTCAGGCCCCAGTCCCTGGTTCTGAGGAGGAGATGACGGAGTGCAGAGCTGAGATGGTCCTCAAGGAAGCGTCCGAGCCCTGGCAGCCCAGGCTGGAGTTCAGTCCTGGTCTTGCAGGTGCAGCTGGCCAGCGGGTGCACCCCCAGGGTCACGGCCCGCCTGCCTGGCCCGGCGGCAGCAGCACCACCTTGTCCAGCCACAGCGCGTCGAGCTGCTGCCGCCGGTGGATGCGGCGCAGCCGCAGGAGGTAGAGGACTATGGCCAGCGCTACGACCAGGATGCAGGCGAAGAAGAGATAGTGGTTGTAGACGAAGGAGAGGCGCAGCCACGAGGCGTGGGCTTGCCGGATGTTCTCCTGCCGGAGATCCCTGCAGAGAGGAGAGTTGGAGTCGGGGGGGAGCTGCACTGGGTATGGAGTGCAGCTGAGAGCCCTTGTCCTGCTGCCACCCCTCCCCGCACAGCCCCAGAGCTACTTCTCCTCCTTCCTGCATTACCTGAGTGGCAGAAACCTTGTCTTGTAGAGGATGGCGCCCAGCGTCCACTGCACCTCCCGGTCGTACACCAGCTGGGCCGTGCGCAGGCTGGGGTAGTCGGGGGGGAAGTGGAAGCCCTGGTGAAGGACTTGGTACATCCAGGCTGACTTGAAGCACTGATACCTGCGGACGGCACACGGGAGCATCAGCCAGATGCGGCTGCAGGGCTGGACTCAAAGCAGAGCCCACCGGGGCCCCCCAGAGGTACAACCACGGCCCCTTACTTCACTCGGTGCTCGTCTGCGTGTGATGAGTAGAGGCCACCGCGGAAACGTTTGGTCAGCACCTCCCACCTCTGGCTGCAGTACTCCTGGGGAAGGAGAAGTCGGGGTTCAGCCCAGAGGAACATCCCCTGCTCCCTCCCAGCACCGTAACGGGTCGGGGCAGCGCTCACCTGGGCAGCAGCAGTGAAGGTGGGGGCGTTGTAGTAGCCCCCCAGGCGCAGCACGTCCTCGGTGCAGTAGAAGAACTCGGAGAAGCCATAAAACTCGCTGTTACTGAAGTCAATGGGCGCTTTGTAGGCCCCCGTTAGGGAGTCCTGGCTGCTGTTGGCCCCCCCCAGGAGGGGCTGCAGCAGCTTGGCACAGGCCTGCCAGTCCCCTCGCCCGCGCATGTGCAGCGTTCGCTCGCCCCTCGTCACCGTGTCCTCCAGCCCCACGGGCAGGCAGGGGTCCAGGAAGGGGGTCTCGGCGCTCAGCCCCGTCTGCTGGCCGTGCAGCCTGGGGAAGAAGCGAGAAATGAGAGGTGAGGAGAGAGCTGGAGGTGGGGACGCGACGGGACGACGTGCTGAGGGAATCCCTGCTGGAGGAGGGGAAGGCAGCAGGCGGTGGCGCTGATAAACCTGCCGGGCTCTGAGGGCAGCGCTCGGGCGCCACGTGAGGCCCAAGCCCGTGCTGCTGGCACCCCGCTGCTGCCAGCGTGGCCGTGGCAGCCGTTATCACCGCAGGCGGCTCCTGGGGCAAATCCAAGGGGGAGCGAGCGCCGGGAAGGCCCCGGTGGCTGTTTCACAACGGGGCGCCTCCAGGCGCAGCAGCAGTACCGGCTGTGGGCGTGGGTCTGGTTCAGCACCAGCTCCTCGTAGCGCTGCCGAGCGAAATTGCCCCCGAAGCCCAGGAAGGTGTTGACGTAGACGCGGTACACGTGGCCGCTGTGCTGCACGTCGCAGCCCAGGTTGAACTCCGCCAGCAGGCTCTTGGCAGCCTCCTCCTGAGGAAGCAGAGGGCAGCGATCAGCCACAGCCCTGGGTTTGCTGCTGGCGCCGTCCCCCGGCCGGGTACGCACCTGCTGCGGGGAGGAGAAGGCTCCGGAGCTGGGCACCTCGTAGGCGATCTGCAGGGAGGCGCCCCCCATGTCCAGGATCCCGACCGTGCGCTTCCGCACCAGGGACTCCGCCTGGTCCCCCAGCGCTACCGTGACCACCGCTGCCTCCTCTGCAACCCGCAGCCATGCATCAGAGAGGGGCAGTGGGGCAGCTCCTGCCCTCTGTCACCCTGCTGCCCCACAGCAGCCTCAGTGCACCCTCCGCATGCAGGGACGTGTCACCGCAGGCAGGGTTGGTGCCTCCTCCCCGTGCATGGCGCAGGTCAGCCACCAAAGGGCCGGGTGCTGCCTGCTCCCCCACTCACCGTCCTCGTGATCAAAGCGGCCCAGGACGAAGTTGATGCCGATCCAAGCGTAGACACCTGGGTGGGACAGAAGGGGTTTGCCCCCAGGCAGAACGCAAATGCTCCCACCCACGGCTCGGCTGCGCCTGATGCCAGCTCTGCGTGCTCCCGGCTAGGGCACGAGGACGAGGCAGCGGAGGTGGCAGCAGCAGCTCCTACCTTCCTGTTTCCCCGAGATCACTTCTGCGTGCGATTTGGAGAAGAGAAAGTCGAACTCCAGGGGTATGTTTTGCACCAAGTCTTCCAGGATGGCAGCTTGCTGCCTGCCGGGGCACAGGAGGGGGTCAGGGGCCGGGGCGAGCCCCCGAGAGCTGCTCCCCGCGGAAGCAGCAGGGAGAGGAGCAGTTCCTCTGCAGCGCGCCCCTGCACCCTCCGGAAGAAACAAACGAAAGAAGCTCCAGCTGCTCGCTCCGGGCTCCAAACCAAAGCGTTTCCTCTCGAGGAGGCTGCAAGGCTCCCGTGCTGCCCAAACTTCCCTCCCCATGGGCTCCAACCCTCCTTGAGCCTTCGCTGCTCGTTCCTGGTGCCCACCCCTCATCCTCCCTGTGGCCGTGGCCGTTCCCCACCGCGCTCACCTCTGCGGCAGCAGCCGCATGCCGGCGGTGCACAGCACGTACAGCGGCGTCTCCTTGTGCTTCGGGGCCGGCACATGGGCAGGCAGCGAAGCGCAGCAGGGGCCGCAGGTAGGGCGTCGCTCGCTCCGGCTCCGCCGCCGCCGCCACCGAGATCCCTGCGTGGGCATGGCGAGAGCCGTGAGCCCCGAGCCCCCGGGGCCAGCCCGGTGCCGCCCGGTGGTGCCGCACGTACCGGGTTTGATCTTCTTGACCACGGGCCGGCTGCCGCGGTCCCGCATCTGGCGGATGTCCAGCAGGTCGTGCGGGTTGCCGTTGTGCGGCGGCCAGACGTAGACGAAGACCCGGGAGCCGCTGCTGCCGCAGTCCACCACCACGCCGTAGCTCAGCGCCGCGTCCTCCGTAGTCGGTGGCCGCCAGCTCCTCCAGCCGCGACAGGTACCTGCGGGCACCGGGAACGGTGTCACCACCCCCAAACGGTGTCACCACCCCCACCCCGTACCCCCCCGGGCACTCACCTCTCTCCCCGGCGTGGCGGCGCAGCCCAGCGGCGGGGCGCGGCGGCGGCCAGCAGCAGCAGCAGCCCCGCGGCCGCGGCCAGCCCCAGAGCCACCGGGCGCGGCCGGGACCACGGGAACGGGGAGCGGCACGGGCAGGGCACGGAGAGCCTGCGGGGAGAGCGCGGGGTCAGGGCCGGCACCGGGGAGCACTGGGGAAGGGCACAGGGCAGGGCAGGGCGGGGGGGTCCCGGTCCCGGTCCCGGTCCCGGTCCCGGTCCCGGTCCCGGTCCCGGTCCCGGTCCCGGTCCCGGTCCCGGTCCCGGTCCCGGTCCCGGTCCCGGTCCCGGTCCCGGTCCCGGTCCCGGTCCCGGTCCCGGTCCCGGTCCCGGTCCCGGTCCCGGTCCCGGTCCCGGTCCCGGTCCCGGTCCCGGTCCCGGTCCCGGTCCCGGTCCCGGTCCCGGTCCCGGTCCCGGTCCCGGTCCCGGTCCCGGTCCCGGTCCCGGTCCCGGTCCCGGTCCCGGTCCCGGTCCCGGTCCCGGTCCCGGTGGGTGCTCTCCTCTCACCGGGCCATGTGCCGCCGCCGCGCATCGCCCCCGGGGCCCCGCGGCCACGTCACCGAGCGCCCCCTCCCCCGGCAGCCAATGGGCGCCCGCGGAGCCCGGCCCCGCCCCCTGCCCCGCGGCGTCCAATCGGCTCCTCCCCGCGGCCAGGCCACGCCCCCCTCTTCGCCCCCTCCCTTCCCGCTCCCTCTTCCCTCCCGCGTGACGTCACCCGCGGACTTTCGTCCTATCGCGGCGCCCGCCCCGCGGGCCAATGGGCGCCGTCCAAATAAACCGCACGCGCCGCGGGCTCTGAGTGACGCGCGGCTCAGCCAATCGCGCGGCGCCGTCCCCGCGCGGAGCGGAACAGGCCGCCGGCCCCGCGGGCGGACCAAAGGTCGCGGCGCCCGCCGGCCAACGGGCTGCGAGCGGGGGCGGGGCGAAAAGTTGCGGCGGCCAATAGGAAGGCGGGGCCGGCGGCGGGGCGGGCTCCCATTGGGCGGCGGCGGTGGCGGCGGGGCGGGGCGGGGCGCGGCGGGGCCGGGGCGGCGGCGGCGGCGGCGGCGGCGCCATGGAGCTGGGGGCGGGCGCGGGGCGGGCGCGGGGGCGGGCGCGCGGGGCGGCGCGGAGTCGGGCCGCGTCCTGCTGCTGCTCATGGGCGGCGGCGGCGGCGGCGGCGGCGGCGCGGGGAGGGCGCGGCGGGGCGGGGGGGGCGCGGAGGAGGTGGAGGCGGCGCCCGGGGGCCCCGAGCCGCGCTCGCCGCTCCTCTCGCCGCCCGCCCCCGACTACGAGGCGCTGCCGCAGGGCGCCGCCGTGTCCACGCACATGCTGGCCGGGGCCGTGGCGGGCGTCATGGAGCACTGCGTGATGTACCCCGTGGACTGCGTCAAGGTGCCGGCGGGGGGGGGACCGGGAACCGGGCACCGGGCACCGGGCAGGGCCTGGGGGGGACAGGAGGGCAGGGGAGGGGGGGGCGGGACCGGGGGGGGGGGAACCGGGAGGGGGAGGGTCCGGGGCTGGGGGACCGGGGGGGGTTGGGCCCGGGAGGTGGGACCCGGGGGTGCTCGGTACCGGGGGTTTATACCGGGGGTGCTCGGTACTGGAGGGGTTGGACCCGGGGGTGAGCACTTTGGGGGTGATCGGTCCCGGGGGCGCACCCCCCTCCCCAGGCCGCAGGGGTGACGGGCGTCCCGCCCGGGCTTTGCCTTGCAGACGCGGATGCAGAGCCTGCGGCCGGAGCCCGCCGCCCGCTACCGGAACGTGCTGGAGGCCCTGTGGCGCATCGTGCGGACCGAAGGCGTCTGGAGACCCATGCGGGGCATGAACATCACCGCCACCGGAGCCGGCCCGGCGCACGCCCTCTACTTCGCCTGCTACGAGAAGTTAAAAAAGACACTGAGCGACGTGATCCACGCGGGGGGCAATAGCCATGTGGCCAACGGTACTCGTCCCGACGGGGCCCCGCCGCCCTCCTCCGGGGCCCCGCCAGGCGCACGGGGCGAGCGGGGGCTGGGGACGGCGGGGAGGGGAGCGGGCAGGGGGCTGCGGGGCGGCGGGGAGGGGGCAGGGCAGGCAGCCCCACGGGGGTGGCGGGGCCAGGGATGTGCTAAAGCCCTGTGCTCTCTGCAGCCGTGAGCTAGCGGTGCCGGGCGAAGCGCTGCTCGTGCCTCCGCCTGCTCCTGCGCCCGCCCGAGCTGCTCCCAGGTATCCGTGGCTCGACGCAGGTCAGTGGCCAGCCGCCGGCCCCCGAGGACGGATGCCCGCAGATGGGAGCCGCCGACGGATGAGCAGGGGACCGGCCGCGGCCGCGTGGGTTGGTGGTGCAGGAGCCCGCCCAGCGGGGTCGGGGCTGGTGGTGCTGTGGTGCCCGGTGCTTTTGGGCAAGTCCCGTCCTCGGCGGGTGTGCAGCAAAACGCTGTCTGGTTCCTCCTCCCGCGTGGTGCTGGGTGCAGCCACCCTCGTCTTGTGGGACCCCTGCGAGTCGGTGGCCTGCGAGGGCTGGGACTGAGGGAGTCCCGGCCGGCCCACGAGACTTGACAGACTGTCGCGCTCCTCTTCTTCTCTCTGTTGAACTCTTTTTCGGGTGGGATTTGCTGAGGACCAGCCCGCCTTCCGGACAGGAGATGGAGGCTGCCTTTGGATCTCGCCCTCCTCTGCGCGGGGACTTCCTCCTTTGCTTTGGCGGGGGACTCGGGGTCGTGGTGGAGCCCCGGGGTCTCTCGCCACCTCCTCCCCTCACATGTGGCAGTTCTTGTTTTGCAGGTGCAGCCGGGTGTGTAGCAACATTGCTCCACGATGCGGCGATGAACCCTGCAGAAGGTAACGATGGGCCTGCCCTGCCGGGGGTCTAGGAGTGGGATCTGCCTGGGCTGCCCCCATCCCTCTGTCCCTTGTTGCTCACCCTGACCCCAGGGATCCTTTGGGGGTCAGCATAGGCTGCATTTAAGGAGCCCAGTGGCTGCCACTTACAAAGCTGGGAAGTGGAGGGAATTCGTTCTGGGGAGCACAGCAAACCTCAGCTGAGGAGGAGCAGGGAGGGAGGCAAGGTTTCTTGCTGGAGCAGCAGAGAAAGCAAGAGTGGACGTGATCCTTACTCTCAAAGTCGTTACAAGTGCATTGAAACCAGACAATGCTGTGGTTAAAGCTCCTTGGGAAGATGCGATATGGCTCTAGGTACGTGGTGAGGATGAAAAAGCTGAGGGACAAAAGGCACCTTAAAGAAGTCTGGAGAAAAGATAACTTAGGGAATGTCTGAAAGGCACCGACTTTGTTAAGCTTGGTTTGAAAACAGGAGAAAGATTTTTAATTAATTAACATCTGTGAAGGTGGCGGGAGGAGCGGGGGAGGGATAATGAGTACAGACAGCGATGAACAGGCTCCTTCCTCGTACAACTGGGAGGCTCGTGACAGCAGGAGAGTAAAGATCCGCGGTAGCAGCTGCGGTGGCGAGCACCACACACACGGTGCTGAGCGGGGCCGTGCCCGCAGCCTGGCAGCCCCGCTGCCAGCTCCAGCCGACCCAGGCTGTGTGGCTCCCGCAGAACCCCCTGCCGGCAGCAAGGCCTCCTCCTGCCCACCGCTGGGCTCTGCCCCTCGGGAGCAGGCAGCTGCTTCGGCCGGTCGGTTGTCATTCCTTGCCTGGAGCTACTCTTCTTACCCTGGCCTGTAGCATTTGGAGGCGCATCGTTTTTAGCTCCTGCTGGACGTGTTAAGTTAGGGGAGGCCGGGCAGCTGGAGGCTGTGCTGGGCTCTGCTCCTTCGTGGGGGGGGATTTTGGTGGCTGTGTCGGGCGTGCTGCAGATTGGGGGTGGCCGAGGAGGGACAGGATAACACAGACCTAGAAATCTGGGAAATAACAGAGTAACTGCAGGGGGCTTCCTCTGCCTGCACAGTGGGTCGGTAGGGGCAGGTGGGGAGAGGTAGGGTGGCGTGGGGTGCACACGTCGGGTGGCAAACTTACACCTGGGCATGGGGACGTGCCCTGGAGCGGGCTGCAGGGTGTGCAGGTGGTGCTGTGAGGGCGCTGCCTGGTGCAGATGGAAATGGAAATCTGGCCTAGCCCTGCCGGGACGCTGCTGGCCGGAGCCGTGTGCCTTTAGCTCCCGAGCCAGCGTGACTGAAGTGCCGAGCGCCCGCAGGGAGCCTTCACCCTTACCCTTTCTCTCTCCTCTTCCTCTCTGCGCCCGGGTCCCGGCTGCTGCTGCTGCTGCTGCTGCCGCCGCATGTCCCAAGTGGTGAAGCAGCGGATGCAGATGTACAACTCGCCCTACCAGCGCGTGACGGACTGTGTGCGGGCTGTGTGGCGCAACGAAGGGGCTGGAGCTTTCTACCGCAGCTACACCACCCAGCTCACCATGAACATCCCCTTCCAAGCCATTCACTTCATGACCTACGAGTTCTTGCAGGAGCAGCTCAACCCCCACAGACAGTACAACCCAGGCTCCCACGTGGTCTCCGGGGCCTGCGCGGGGGCCGTCGCTGCTGCTGCCACCACGCCTTTGGACGTTTGCAAAACGCTGCTCAACACCCAGGAATCCCTGGCCTTGAGCTCCAACATCAGCGGACACATCACAGGCATGGCCAATGCCTTCAGGACGGTGTACCAGGTGGGCGGTGTGACCGCCTACTTCAGAGGGGTCCAGGCCAGAGTCATTTATCAGATGCCCTCGACGGCGATCGCCTGGTCCGTGTACGAGTTCTTCAAGTACATCCTCACCAAGCGCCAGGAAGAGCGTCGGGCTGGGAAGTGAGCCAGAGCTGAACCCGACTCCAGACCTGCTTCATCTCCCCTCCTGGTTTGTCTCCTGACCCTCTCCCTTTCGGTTTGGTTTGTGTTGAAGAGAGGGGGCGGCAAAGCCCTTCGGGGCTCAGCAACGCCATTTCTTGCCCGGGGCTGCTGCAGCTCTGCTCCAGCTGCACGGCTGGCTCTCTCCCGGGCCCTCAGAGATGTCCTGCTGGGAGCTGCAGCCCAGGTCACGTCCCCTGGCACTTCGGTGGAGCTGTGCTCCTCTCCTTCCCGTAACAAAAGCCTCCTCTACTGCAAAGCTCGCCCCTGCTTGGAGGGGAAGGTGAATGTCCTGCCCTGCCGCTGGCGGGGCCGCAGCTCAGCTCAGTCGCCGAGGAGGGGGCAGCGGCTCCGCCGGGGATGCTGGAGGCTTTGTCTGGCTTTTGGCTGAAGCAAAGTGTAAGCCTTGCCGTTGTCTTGTAGCACGCACACATGACGCTGACTGCCCTGGTGGTGGTGGTGGTGGTGGTGGGTGGGGAAGGATGGCACTTGAGGAGGGGAGTCGTAGGTTTGTTAATGTTCCTGCTCTTGACACCTCCAATAAAAACAGTTCTGCTCTATTGTCGCATCCCCTTCTTGCTCTCGGGTGGCACCAGACCCTTCTGACTGCCCAGCGCTGGGCTCTTTTTTTGTGGCTCTCATCAGGGTGGTGGGTGGGACGCCTGGGGAGCAGCAGCGGGCAGATTCACCCACATGCTTGGAGGTCCTTGTGTGAAGGGCAGGACATCTTTTTCAGCAGTTTGACGGAGAAAGGTGTTAAATGGTGGAAGAAAGTCCGTGAGGAACACAGTGCTCTCAGCCCAGCCCCCTGCTAAGTCTCCATACAGCCAAGTACCCGTTACTGCAGCCCTGCACCACCGCTGCCACGAGGCTGGACGGGGCAGCTCAGAGCGGCTTCACCTCACAGCAGCGAGGCCGAGAGTCCTGCACCACCCAGCTGGGGATCATCCTGCCTCTCCCCTGCAGCCTCTCCCCTCCTGGGGCCGTGTGCCAGCCCCACTGGCCAGGCTGGGGACAGAGCAGAGCCGGGCAGGGCAGCAGCCGTGCTGCGTCCCCCGCTGGCTGCAGGGTTTCATCCAGGAGGGGCCACCAGGAGGCCCCTACAAACACAGTTGCTCAATATTTTCTCTAATTCAATAATATAAAATTACCTTTTTTATTTTTTTTTAACTGTTTTCTTAGCCATGTTGACACCGATTTCTGTCGGAGTCCCACCCAGCTTGGACCAACAAGGCAGGAACCACTGGGGCCATGTGCATGAGCACTGATGCCTTGCTTGCTTGTACCGCCTTACAGAGCCCACAGATCCCGTTGTGGGGTGCCATGGGGACGCCTGGCCCCAGCGGGATGCTCCCTGCGTGCCTGCAGGAGGGGCATCCATCCCACAGACACAGACGGGCCATGCCTGGAACAACTCCCTGGAGGAAATGCGCTCACAGCCGTGGTATGTGCTGTCTGCCAGCATCCCTGGGGGCTCGGGGCTGCCCCACACGGGGTGCTGGGGGCTCTGCCCTCACCGCTCTGCGTGTCCCTGAGTGCAGCCCCGCGTGGTTGCGTGCCTGCCCGCTGCTCCCCGCCTGGGCTGCGGGCTCCTGTGCCCTGTGGGCTCCTGTGCCCGGCTTGTTCTGCACAGGCAGGAGGATCTGGCGCTCCTTAAAGAAACCAAAGCCACCGGGAAGCCGGTGAGCCTCCGCTCTCCCTGTTTCAACAGCTGGGGCTTTAAGAAATAACCCGAGGATTGCAAGATTTGGCAGCCCTGCGGCTCCTCCACCCAAGAGGGAGGAATCCGAGCAGCAGAAAAGGCTGGGAGAGACCCAGGGAGGATTAGCGGGCAGCGCGGGGCTGGGCTCTGCCAGCAGCGAGGCAGCAGGAGATGGGCACGACCCAGCAGAGCCGCTTCGGGGCCGGAGCACAGCCGCAGCTTCGCCTCCAGCCCTCGCACCGGGGCCATTGCAGATGCCTGGGAGGGAAAGGCATAAACACAGGCAGGGGCTGGGGGGAGATTCATGCTGTTAAACCCCTCGGCCGCTGGAAGAGGCTCTATAAATGTCAGCGGGCGAAGGCATGAGTGAAGGTGACTGCGGGGTGAGGAGGGGCGTTTCCAGGAACAACTGCCCGCACACAGGCTGGGGGAGGGAGCAGGACCCCCGGGAAGGGGGGTATCATAACTCAGCACGGCACAGGGGAGATCTTGGCTTCCTCCCACAGGGCCACGGCCTGCCTGCTCTGCTGGGGCTTTGCCAGCTCACCCAGCAGCAGCAGGGCGCTGCCAGTGCCCGCAGAGCAGCCCCGGGGTGGTGGCACTGCAGGGACCACAGCGCTGCAAGGGAGCATCCAGGGGCTTTCCAGACATCCCCTGTGGCCAAGCCATGGAAGAGTGGAAAAATCCCCTGTCCTGCTGCTGCCTCCTTCCATCCTCGGAGCTGAACCTCAGCTAGCCCGAGGAGCAGCTCCAGGACCATGCATGGGCCATGGAGGGCAGGAGGCAGTGTGCCTGCTGCTGGCGCTGCCTGCAGAGCGTGGAGCTGGGTGCTCCTCGCCACGAGATGGCTTCAAACCAAGCCCAGTGTGGGTGCAGTGTCAGAAACCCTGAATTGAGCATCAGGGACTGCACAGAGGCTGTCCTCTTAATTGTGCTGACAAGGCTTCCTTAGGTCCTCTGGTCACCCCCGGTCCTGCTGTGGCTGTGTGCATTTGGGTCCATCTCAGTTGGACAGAAGTCCCACTTTTGCCACCTCTCTTCGCAGGGTGTCTGGTTGATCCCCTGAGCCCCTCTAACTTGTGGGGTTTTTCCCACTACGGGTAGTGCCAGAAACACCTCCTGGGGAAGGCTGCTGCTCTTGGTTTCTCACCGGTGATGATGGTGCTGTGAGCCCTGGGTGCTGGCTCCTGCAGTGACCATCCAGCCCCATGCCAGCACCTCCAGCCCCTGCTCATGGTGGTGGCATCCTCACAAACACGTCCCCTGCCTGCAGTGAAGGGATTTTGCCTCCCTCTGGGGGGCTTGGCTGGGGGTTGGGTGCCCTTCCTGGGTCCGGTGACCCCTCCTTGAAGCCCCGCTGCACGAGGCTGGGCCTGTGGCCTCCTCGGCATTTGGCTGTGCTTCATGTGAAATCCCTCCTACAGCCTCTTCTGAGTAACCAGGCTATTTTTGGCCTTCCAGCGAGGGAGCCGCGCTCAGCCCATCGCAGCTCCGCAGACAACCCCATTTCACCCCCCTGCAGGATCCCCAGCCACGTCCAGCCTCTTGCTGTCCTTCGTCCCCATGTCCCGTTGTCCCTCCAGCCTCATCCCACTGCTGGTGCTGGGTGGGGGCGAGCCCGCAGCCCCCAAGCAGGGCAGAGCAGGGGCAGTGCTGCCAGCCCTGCCCCGGGTGATGGATTTGGGGGCACGGCAGCCCCGCCGTGGCACGAGCCCAGGCTATTTCGGGCAGCCCCCATTTGCCTTGCCAGCAGTAGCTGGAGCTGCAGCGAGACCCAGCCGCTCGCTGGGGTAACTCGAGATGCCTGAGTGCAGGCTGAGGGCAGGGCTGGGGGATGAGCTGCTTGGGCCAGGGGTCTCCTCTCCCCCAGGGCAAAATGGGGAGATCTCCTCAGCATGGCTGTCCTGTGCCTGGGGGGCTCCTGAGCAAATCCAGCCTTGGGTGCTGAGTCCAAGCCACCCCTTTGCCAGCCTGGCTCGGTGGCAGAGAGGAGGGGGACGTGGGCACTGCCCCTGCTGCACCACATCCCTGCCCGCACCCTGCACTACCCCAAAATTTCCTGCCCCAGCCCCTCTGCCGTGGGGCAGCCGGTGCCTGCCAGCCCTGCTCGGCAGGAGGGGGGTGTCTGGCGCCTGCGGGGAGCAGGGGGGTGCCCTCACAGCCTCCCCCAGCCCCGGCTGCGCTGCTTCTGGGATTCCTCAGGGCTCTGTCAGACCCCAATAAAGTTATACAAGTTCTCATGACCCCACGGCCCTGCAGCGGTGGTAAACTCAGGAGCTGGGGCTGCCTGGACACAGAGCAGACGTTGCCCCTGGTGGGCTCTGGGAGGCTGCCTGCTGACCCCTGCTGCTGCTGGAGCAGCTGGGGGACAACCCCTGCCCGTGCAGGTCCCGGGCTCTGCCGTACATCGTGGGGATGCAGGCAGGAGGGGAGCCCAGGCTTCGCCTAACAGCCTGAAAGGTAAAGCCAAGGCTGAAAGCCTGCTTTGTGGGCACTTAAGAGGCCATCCAGACAGCCACCCGTGACATCCCATGGCTGGGTCTGCTCTCACTGTGTCTTTGTGTGATGGGAACGTTTGGGGGCTGTTCCAGACCCTTGTTTCCCCAGGGTGCTCATGGCACAGGCGCTGACGTTGCCTTTGGGCAAGGCACAGACCGCGTTTAGCACGGCACAGCGTGCAAGGAGAAATGCAAACCCAAGCCGTCTTCTCTGCCCGCAGCACCTTTGGGTGCCCATCAGAGGCGGGCAGCCCGTCACCTGGAGCCCTGCCAGGGGCTGTAAGGGACAGGAGCAGGGAGCTGGGCCAAAATCGGGCCGCGGCTCCAGCAGGGGCACAGCTCCCTCTGCAGCCCGCAGCTGTGAGAGGCTGCGCGCAGCGCCCGTCCCCGCTGTCCCTTCATGTCCTCGATGTCCTTCTCCGTGTCCTCGATGTCCTTGGGGCAGGACCCGCGGGGGCAGCGCGGTGCCTGGAGGCTGAGGGCAGAGCGGGGTCGGGAAGGGGGCTCTGGGGATGCTGCCAGCCTGGGGGGGGCCGGCACCGCTTTGGGGTGGCGAAGGGCTCCCCAAAAAACCTCCCCGGCTCTTACAGAGCCAGCAAGCGGCCAGGGCACAAGGACCCGGCTGGGGCTAGGGGAGGTGCTGAGCCGCCCAGCACCAACCCAAACCCAGCCGCGGGGACACGAGGACACCGGGGTGCCTGCCCCCAGCCCGGCCCCGTGCGCTTGCCGATAGGTGGCGGTGGCGGATCTCGCTTGGGGACAGGCTGGTGACAGTGTCCCAGCTGGGAGAGGGGGCGCCCGGGGGTCCCGGCCGGCACCCGCAGCCCCGGCACCCCTGCAAAGCGCTCGCGGCTTTTTTATTGCGCAGCCCCCAGCCGGCCGGGGGTGCGGGTGGCCTCCGGATGGTGGCCTCTGGACAGCTCTGTGCTGGGGGGCGCACGGCGAGGGGGCCTCCCCGGGTGGGTTGCTTCAGCCCCCTGGAGCAGCTCTG